ACACGCGCATGGAAACCCGGCACACTGAACCTCAGGGGCATCGCTGTGCATCTATACCTCCGTACCGGGGGGAAATCATCCAGCATTTATTGCGAGTGCTGTTATTGCCTATGTTCATTTTAATATTTTATTTTCATCAAGCATCTGAAAGGCCTGAGATATTGGTTGATCACATGTCACAAAGACGAGAGACTCAGCGTTAATATTTCATCCAATTGACAACCTGGATAAAATTTATCTCTGATTAAATTTAGCTCTGATTCTCTTTTCTAGCTTAAGTCACGTACATCATTTTTTACACGTTCATCGATTCTGACTTTATTTTGATGGTAGTCTACGCGAAATTTAAATACACATGGCCTTAAAATAACAGAGAAGCTGCTGTATTTTAATCTCCTTTGCCCGTTCCTTTATTTGAGGTATCTGTAATATATATCCATTCATACATCCATCCGCTTATCCGGAACAGGATCGGAGTGAGCTTGAAACCTGTCCCCAGGCAGCATAGGGTATAAAGAGACACTCTGGACGGGATGCCAGTGTCAGTAATATTTAAATATATATAACTTACCTCCAGGTAAAACCGGATGAAGTGCAAAAGTAGTTTTTATTTTTTCCTTTCACTAGTCACCTTCCGTCTAACCTCCTTTAAATACATACAAACTTAATGAAAATGCTATTAATAGCATGTTGTTGGCAAGCGATTGGGAGAATTAACCGAACTCTGCCTTATTATGAAAGTCCAGTAAATGAACTTAAGTTATCCATATCTGTAGGTCGCTTTCCATAGATGGGATCAGTTCTGCAAACTCAGCAACTCGCAGTGAACAGTGCAAACACTGACACCCTGAGGTACAACAAGGAACTGCAAATCCATGTTAAACATACTGCTTGTTCTTTGAACATCATCCTTCAAATCAAGCTGCCGGTATCACAAGAATCACACAGTAAAACAAACGCCAAAATCTATGCATTTAGCAAAGACTAAAGTACAGTATATACTATAGTAAGCAAAAGTCTTAAGTTGACAAAGAAAAAATGTTTAAAAGGTATTTGTGTGTACAGTAAGCGTATATCTGCTCAGAAAAAATATTAGTTGACATTAATTGGCCAATTAACTTCATGAAAATTGATTAGCCAAACAAGGTCTAGTTCAAGAACATTCTGGATGGTAACTGCAAATACTTTACTAGACACACTTTGACTGACACACTGACAAAAAAAATCATGTTAAAAACCAACATAAACATAATTTAAGCATAAAATTCTTTGGCAGTCTACGACTTTTGCAAAGTACTCTATCACATCAGCCTTGACAAGGGGCGCATTGCATCCAGATGTTCAGTCAGCTGTCTGTCTCTGGTACTGTGGATTAAGTCCATACTTCAACCCAGCGCTGTCCCACAAATCAGACTCGGACTAATTAGAGCATTTTCATGTGCTTCAGTTCATGTTTCATTTTATGTTAGACCAACTGGTATATTTGCCGAGCTAAATTAATATACACTGACGGTCAGGAGACTTAACACAGGAGTACAACAATGGCAGGGAGTCACAGAACTAACGACTTAGCAGTTTTTCAAATTTAATTCTTCGAAAACAAGCTCAGTGTTTCCACTGTGCCACTATTATTTGTAAAACAACAACGATTCATCAACTAAGTTAGAGCATTCCGAGTTTTACTTATAAACCGCACAAATCACAGAACGAGAACAAAAAGCTTCTCTGGCGTTGCTCATACATTCCTCAAAGCAATGTTTATACAGATGCGATTTCACGTGCTACTGAGAGAACCAGCCTTTGCCCCAGATTTTGTGTTGATCAAAAGGTTTAAATGCTAGAGAAGAGGCACTTGTTTGGATCGTATTCTGTCTACTGGGACTTAGAACATGTATTTCCATCTGTTGGCCGTATGGATCTTCTCCATTATCTCGGGGACAAGTGTAGGCCTCAGTGCGATTCCTCTATATTAGTTTACTCAGCTGGGCCCCAATCCTGGTATCACTGCTTTGTTTTCCTCCAAAAACATGTGTTAAGTTAATGCCCTGTAAAAAATTTCAAAGACAAGCTCGGTAAGTTCAATAACAGGTAACAGACCAGTGTATTAATGTGCTAGCTTAAAAGAAATATTTTTTCTGGAATCACCGTCTTCTCACGGTGCTGTTTTCTTAAGTTCTTAAATTTGGCAGAAAACATAAAATTCAGTTTTGCTGCAAATCAGATCAGGAGACAGAATAAAATGTTTTGCCTGTAAAACACATAGTAAAACTAAAATGTATACCACTGCGTAAACACGGAAAAATTAAACAAACATGGAATAAAAGATGTGTGATTGTTGCTAGGAAACTACCTCGAAAGTTGTCCAGCAGCCAAAAGCGTTTAGAAATACAAAAGTTACACAATTGCTTTTACAGATGTTACCTAATATTTGAAGTTCTGTTTGCGACTGAAGAGTGTCCTCCTTGTGTTTAGCGGTGTTTTGCTGCAGTGTAGGTTCTGTTGTTTTCCTTTGTAATTAGATTAAGACCACACACCTCTGCTCTGGCCACCCACAACAATCAATGAGGAAATGAGCCGTCAACAAAAGGCATTTACTTACAGATATTTGTTGGGCACATATGTCCTTGCACCCTGAGACCGACCCAAATGTTACATTTTTATATATTATTTACAAATTAACTGTTGGAAAAGTCATTGTACTTGAAAAAATAAATCCATAAAAACCTGATAATGGAGAAAACGCTCCTAACAATGATATTGCAAAGAACTGAAATACGATAGCAAATCCTAAAGGACTTAACGTGTTTTGAATACAGTTTGGCCTGAAACTTTGGCCATAAGTAAAGATGAAAATGAGGAAATGTAGCACAAATGTAACTTTACTTTATTACTCAATACACATGGATCAGCCGGTTAGGATACTGGGCCTGTGATCAGAATGTCACTGGTTCCAATCCCAGTTGGTGCAGGAATTTTCTGACCCTGCTTTAACAAAAAAATGTATGTTGCTTCTGCTAAATAAACGTAAATAATTTAGTTTATATTGATCACACAAATCTGTTTGCAATGAGAAAGGAAGTAAAACTGATTAAAAACACAAGGAAAATTTAACAATTGAAACATGCTCTAGCACAGGGGTTCCTAAGCTTTTGATGTTCATGGACCACCCCCCCCCCCCAAGTCAAACAAAAATTTCACACACCTGGGGGGTATTAATGAAGTGATCAGCAGTTCCACAAGTTTAAATAAGTTTCAATTTTTTCAGATGTGAACAGAATGTGCAAATGAGAGGGCTTGAAATATATTGTTGATGTATTTTGTGTGGGGTTCCACAGACTGGGGGTGAGAACCTCCACTGTAGTGCAAGAACAACTGAATTCAATTCGAATTATAACGGGTCTGATACCTCATCTCCAAATGCAAAAAAAATAAGGGTCTGATAACCCTTTGACGCTAAACCGTAAATTTACAGTATAAGGCCTTTTTTCCAGTGTGCGGCAATGGTTTATGTATACACATTTCCCAGTTAGGGAAATTGTTATAAGGGCACATTACACTTCATTTCATAGCCTGTGCTCTAATGCTTTTGAAAAGCAAAAGAGAGAACACGCTCGTTAACTTAAATTGAGACTTTGGCACAGTATCTGACACACTATAGGTTACTTCCTTCCTAGTTGACCTCATAGCCGCAATCAATTTCAACATCCAGACACTGTTGCATCTCTGACATTAGGGCGTTTGTCAGGTTGCAGTTATGTACAACTGCAAGACTCAAAGCTCTCCATAAAACATGTAGCGTCTCATCCCCAATGGGAGTGCCAGTGAACCACACCTTCTGCAACATACCGAAGAAGTCTACTCTGCAGATACGTTGGACCAAAGTGTAACAATCTCTGCACACAGTAGCTTAGCAAAGCTATCACTACAGTGCCCGAGGAAGTTCATCTGCCTCAAATGAAAACCACCTGGCACTATTTCAATTGCCAATATAGACAGATTACTAGAACTTTAAAACCCTGCTTTCTTTGTAATTGACATTTTAAACCGTTTGAAGTTTCTCATTAATTTCCTTAAACAAATTAGCTACAGATGTATAAAACTACCAAAGTACAGTACAGGCAAACTATAAGGAAAGAAGACCTTACATTTAATGTTGAATTTAAGATTTAAGTTTGCACAAATATATGGGGGTAATTAACGCTATACGTTTTGCATTCCCTTATTATGCATTTAACTAAAATGACAATTAAAAAAACAAAACATGAATTACATAATATATGTTTAAAAAAACACGTAAAACTGCTGTACATTACTACAGGCAAGACGACCACAGAAAACTACGCCAATCAATGCAAGGTCAAGCAGCCGATGGTAATTAATTGTAGTTCAAGTGACAGTGACACAATGAAATACGACGCAATTAAGAGGTGCACATAGGCAGCAGGCCTACGCTTTATTTAACCTTGGACTGGAGGCCGGGTCAAAGTTTGCCATAAAAGCAGAGGCCATGCCTACACGGCATTTAAGTTTGATACTGGCGATACGGATAATATTAAGATGAAAGCGGGCAATGCAAGGTAGCAGTTACCGATACGGGAATTACATAATTAGCTTCAAATTAACTGGCAGCCACTCCTACATAAATTGTTTTATTCACTACCTGCAGTCGCGTATTTTTTTTTCGTCATTGATTAGCATGTACCGCTTACTACGCGTTTTGCTAGTTTGAGTTTCCTGCAGAAACCAGACACGTGCATTGCTAACTAGCAAGACATATTATCAAACAATTTCACGGATACATACGTAACTTAACCCAACAAAACTGTAGCTATTGATAGAAACAGCTAGCTAATGTGCGAAGCTCTTTCTTAAGTTAATGATATAAAATGAGACCCATTTCACCATTTTTTACAAACGGGTACATATGTTATAACACGAAACTATGCTCGGCTGCTTCTTATCTTCCTTAAGCGAAAAAGCGTGAAAGGACACAAACTTACAGCGCGCCCACTCGCCTTATGACAGCACCCGCCATCTTTCCGTAACCAAGGCAGAGGCGCTATTGGCCAACAAAAGCAGTCTGACAGACAACAGAGAACCCCGATTGGTCCGTATAAAGGGGCGTGGTTTAAAGGCGCGTTTATTTTAAAGACGTAGCAGAAAGCCCTACTCTACTATTATACAGGTAATACTAATTCATTGGAGTAGAGTTATTTTTGTATACACTTTTCTACATAACATTTAGAATATGTACTTCGATTAACACATAGATATGTGTTTAATTAATTTTCATTGCAAACATTATAAATGTGTCAGACATTTGGAATATCAAATCTTGACAAAATTTCCTTTTTACCGCATCCGACATTCACGAATGTGTATGTCTATGCACCTGATCGTTTTTATTTTTCCCTTTATCACCTAATTGCATGCGTGTCCCTCGCTGTTAGGTCATCTGAGATAGGAAACTGTCATTGGTATAGGTAACATAAGCGGCCGTATCCTAATTGTACATAGCTGGTTCACTGCGGGAAATACCAAAGGCCGGTGAGATACCAAACTTTGCTGGAAAGTACACGTGTTGGTACAAGACGTTTTTCACGTGGTCCTCTCCCAGCTGGCCATGCACCAGGCTAATGACAGACGCTGAACTCACTACTTAATAGGACGTGAGTGCCTTGTCCTGCCACTAAAGACAAGGATAGATTGTACCCCCCCCCCCCCCCCAGCGTATTATAAACTGATGTACCACAATCGATGTTAGATTTCAGTGATTCCAACAGAATAAAACTCAATAACATCTACAAAAGACATCACTAATTGAGTTTTTTTTATGGAGGTGTTGGGTTAGTACATTAAGGAAAGCACTGTTAATGAGCTTTCAAGTGTACGTCTCTAAACCATTTATGTGCGTTAAAAAATGTAACACGGTTTGAAAATTCCACTCACGAGTTACTTGGAGACTACCTTCATTTTTCCTCCCTTTAATCCAACACAAATGGCGTCTCCTAATCCAGTTTTGATAGCATTTGGCACGTTTTCTTTGGATCACAGCAAGATGTTCACTTCTTTTTCTGGTTTCCCTGAGGAACCACTGAGCCCACGAAAGAAGCCAGGCTCGGTGAAGCCAAAGCAACGGAGCTGTGCCGCAAATGGGGAACAATGACATTCTAATTCAAACCCAAGCTGCCCATTGTGGATCAAGTTTCAGCACTTCTATTTGTCTTCAAAAATCCAAATCCACCAGCACAGCATTACTATTTTTTTTCCAGAGGATCACAGACATTTCAGTAATTCAATGTCCCACTTTGGGTGTCTGATTATTAAATGTAATATTCAAATATATATTCACAGTTTCACCCCATTGTCCTCCATTAATATTCACTGGTACAAGTGGACAATGAATCACATTCACCAGGGGTTGATGTCTTTGATGTCTGGGTTCATTAAAAATCCTGAAACGCTGCCAGAACTGGCACTGGAGATGAAAGGAATATAAAAGGATGACAAAAATTTATGGATGGAAAGTCACCACCTAACTGTGGAATTTATTATAAACAAAATAATTTATTTTGTTGCTATTGTCTCATGTCTCACAGTTTGCCTTCAATTTTAACAATTAGTTCGTTATAACGCTAAGCATCACCACATAAAACCACCCCTAATATTTGCTGCATCTTGTGTTTTTCCTTATCTCAGACATACACAAGCACCCACATCTTTATATATTTATGAAGATAAACCAGTTTAAGTCTTGGAATAACCAGTCCAGAATCGGCCCCCACTATCTGATCTCTTTATGCTCACAGCCCTGAGCAGTGCTGTGTGTCACTACTGGTTGCTCTATTCCATTGGCAAGTCCAGCTTCACAAATGTCAGTGTATCCGTTATGAAAACGTGACATTTAGACTGGGGTCCCCATTAACAGTAATTTTAGTGAGCTGGTGTGACTTCATTCTTAATTCGCCGACACGCACCCTTTACCATGCAAGCAGTGTGCACCACTGAGATTATTACTATGTATTCATGAAGGAAAACTCAACTGCAAACAAAAAGATTTTCAACACACGTATCTGAAATCAAACTGAAACAGTCAACACCTTTTTCAATAATCATTTTGAATTTGATATGCGAGAGTTTCAGACTTTGATTTTTCTTTCCCTGAAATTGAGAAGTTTTGTAAAAAAAAATGATTAAATATTTACAGATTTTGGCTTTACTTCAAAAAATGTCATAGTGTACTGAACGACGGCCAAGACGTTCAGAAAATTGTACATTAGTCATAGCAAAGAGCTGCACATTACAGCTGCTGCAGCATCTTTAGTCCACTGTCACAACACTGTAGATATTGGTGACAAACCAAACACTGGCAAAGAATCCAACTGTTCCTGACAGAATCACATAAAGGAAAATGAAGCTTTATCAGTGTTAGACCAAATTATGGGAAAACACAACTACAGTATACTCACTACTGCCCTAAAAAGGACTCGTGCTCAAATTCATTAAAGCAACTTTTACTAGTGGGAAATATATTTCAGCTATAATATTAAACCTACCCCAGTCCTTAACCCAATATTATTGAAATTATTTTAAAAATAACCATACGTTTCTGAATTTTGTTTGACTGAAGTATGCAAATGATTTAAATACTGTTTCTTGGGGAATTCTTGACCATTAAAAAACACCAAATTGAACTATCTCGAAAAGCTCAGAGAACATTTGATCCACTCATTCACAGCATTAAAATAAAGTAATGTATTTTCAGCCTGAAAACTTCCAGGATGGATCCATTTTCAAAACAAAACACATTATTGTGGAACTTGACACTATTGAAAACTGGCAACAGAAGTAACCCCCCCCCCCCCCAGTCCCAGTACAACGGAGATATGAGACATAATTGTTCGTGAGTAATGAAGAGTAAATCTAAAATGTAAAACAGGACAACGTGTCAAAAACATCTTACATCAAGGCCACAACACCTACAACATGGAAACTGTGAAGCCAAGAGCGCGTAATTGTTGCCGTCTTGCATTAGCCAAAATCTGAGTCTTTGGGCACTGTAAGTGCACCAGGGAGTTCCGGAAAAAAAACCCTTCATTACCGGGCCGTGTTCACCGGCAATTCGGATCAGGAATTACAAATGATATCATGACAATTTTTCACGCTCTTCAACCCAGTGATGTTTTACCGACTCATTTACTATGATACCTTGTTACAGATCCAGCTGTGAATCTGGGACTTGTCATGAGCCGCACAGCGCTGCCCCCTGCTGGGGCTGACCAATGACCTGGAAGGCAATAGAGGATGCCAGTGTCTTCAGCCTGTGCCGCACTGACAGAGCAGCAGGGCACCGTCAAAAAGCTTCCCATGCAAACTTTCCCGATCACTCCGTTGTTCACAGATGAGTAAGCACACGGCCAAGTGCTTCCCTTTTTTTTTCTTTGATGCGTGAGTGCTGGATTCCCCCCTTTTTTTTTCTCGTTCCGCTGCCCCTCCCTGACACGCCGCGCACCTCGCATGCCTCCCAGGGCGTTGTGCAATGGAGGATCCGGCCAGTGGGACAGAGATCGCATGTGGCAGGGTCACGGGCTAGGTTAAGCAACAATTCAGATATGTGCCTTTACGATGAAAAGCACAGCTGAGATATGGCTGCTGGGTTTGCCTGGGAGGGACTGACAACTCCCTTAAAAGAAAAAAAAACTCAGTTTCACAATAATGCCATATTTTGCAATTATTGGGGAAAAAAAATAAAAATAAATATATATATATATATATATATATATATATATATATAGCATCTACTAATATCAAATCAGACAAACCAATGAAGTAGAACAATATTATTTGTGCAATCTTGTTGTGCATGAATTTGAAGATATTGGAGTACATGAACTGTACTGTACCTTTTCTGAAGGTATATATACTGCTCATATAGCAGGATACAGTTAAAGGCTCGGTAAATACGACTATGGTGGCTACGGGTAAATGTTTAGGAAACAAAAATCCAGGTTTCCCAACCCTTTCCAAAGATCCCATCCGGAAATATCCCAGACTAAAATTAATGAAGAAATGAATGCTTAACCAATCACAGACCAGTGACTGACCCAGGAACAGCCAGCTGTTTGGGCATCACACCAGTCTGCCCATTATCCCCATCACACCAAATGGGTTTAATCCCTCTTTCCCGCTCTGTCTAGTTCACTTCATTTCCACATTCTCACTTCATTTAACTTCATTAATGAGCAGCTTCCTAGCAGATTTCAAATAATGGTTTCTAAAGTACAGGCCGCCTTGGCTGAGGGGACATGGTACTGGTGGGATAAGACTGGAACACATCACCAGCGTCAACACGCCTGTGAACAGGAAGAAGATCAAAGCCATGATCATGGTGTAGCCAAAGCATAGGATTGTGCCGGTGAGTCTGGTGATTCGGAGCTTAGAGTAGCAGTACTGTATGGAGTAGCAAAAATGTGGACTGTCTGGCAGGGAGCTGGGAGGGAGCAAAAATGTGGACCGTCTGTGGGCCCCCAAGGACTGGGTTGGGAAACACTGCTCTATACAATTAGTTCAAGGAAAATATCTAAGTCAGTTATTCCAGCACTAACTTCCATTTGTCAGACATCAAAACTGAACTCCTTCTCGAAGCTGATGGATTAAACAGTTATATGAACAAAACAGAGAATGGATATTGTGAGAGAACATTGTGAGAGGGGCAGTGTGGCACTCACTTCTGCATGGGGCTGAAAGTAACAGAGAAGGATTGTGGCCTCTGAACATGTAATCACTAGTATGATCAACACCAGGAACAGAATCCGGACAAATAGTACATCTGGTTCGACCTTATGGAAAAAGACACGTTAGACAATTAAAAATAATAAAATCTCCACCTGATCGCATGGGCAGTGGAAGCAAAGGGGATTTAAAGAGCAGGAAAAACTTGTGAGTCTTTTAGACACAATGATTTCCCCCTTCCCTCAAAAGAAAAAAAGTGTAATTCACATTTATATTTTGCATTTATGCATTAAAATCAATATTTCATAGATAATTCAAAACTAGCATCTTCCAT